TCTGCAAACTGTTCAACCCCCTCCTGTGTTCATTTCCTATGTACGTTATGCATGTTATATGCATGTGCACATTATTTCAATGGGCACATTATATGCAAATATAAGGTAAAACTGACTGATGAATTTCAATTTGTAATTGCATAATAAAATTACATTCTAAGTTTTATATTTATGATTAACAAGAAGGCATGTAATTGTACTTTTACAACTATAAATAGTTTACCCCAAGAAAATAATGTTGTCTAAATAATAAATCTTTCAGAAATATTCTATATACATCACTTTGTTTTTACTTAATGGAATTTTAAATATTTTCATGAAAGTTATCTCATAATTTAAAGTAAGTTCAAAACTTTTTAATATGTGAACAGCAATTATCACAGTTCAGTCTATTTTACGCCAGGCTTTTCTTAAACAGATATGTTTCTGCTTATGCATAGTCACTTATATTTTACTCATAACTCAGTGAATTTTATAGCCAATTCATTCAAATTCATAACTTCAATTAAACCAACTAATAAGACTACTGTATTTTGTTTTTGTGTTTCATTTGTTACTGAATTTCATGGGGTGGGGAAGGAGGAGACAATATTGGCAGTAAAATAAACTCACTAGACTCATGCACCCAAACCATATTTTGACTTAATGAATTATATGAGCATACAACTGATTATCTTTGGAAGCATAAGTCACTCTAAGATATGCACTCTTTTAGAGTATAAAATATTATATATTAAAGCAGAAAAATCTTTGCAGAAATGGACCCCAGGTGGTAACAAATGTAAGCGATATACATGGCTAAGTTACACATGAAAAGAATGCTTTTTGTATTTTACCTAAGTTTCCAGTGGAGAAATAAAAGGCTATTATGAAAAAGTAATATTTTTTTAATAAAAATTTGCAACACCTAACTAATACTCTGATTTAAAATATTGACAAAATTAATGGAAAAGGAAAGCTTTGAATACAAATCATGTTTTCACTTAATATACAATGTGATCAAGGACACATCTCTAGTTTCTGATCAATTCAAGGATATTCAGGTAATAGAAACAGAGTCAATTTGATTTATGTTGTCTTTATAGTTCACAGCTTCTCAATTAGAAGATAATAAGAAATCTTTCCTATAGTCAAGTCATTCTTAGGATCAAGTGAAAAGGATGAAGTAGTTCACTGTTCTGTCGTTATCATCGTTTTACCATGTCAGATATGGAGCCCTGGTAATTCAATGGTTAAAGTGCTCAATTGTGAATGGAAAGGTTCAAACCCACCAGCTGCTCAATGGGAGAAAGATGTGGCAGTCTGCATCCCTAAATACTGCAGCCTAGGAAACCCTTTGGGGATGTTCTATTTTGTCCTATAGGGTCACTATCAGTCAGAATAGACAGCAATGGGTTTGATATTTTTGTTGTTGTTATTTAACTTTGGAAACATCACAGTCTGGGGTAAGTGTTGCTTGGGAGGGTTAATTCATTCATTTAAGCTGTGAAGGATTTTATATAATTTGTAAAACAGATAATTACAATCAATATCCATGAAAGTAGCAGTAAAGAAACCAAATGGTAAACAACATTGGGCAAATCTGCAAAGATGTCACTTTGAGGTATAAGGTGCAGTTGACCCCAGGCACAATATTTTCAATCACCTCATATGCACATGAGAGCTGAACAGTATAATGAAGAACTAAGAAGAAATGATGTCTTTGAATTATGGTGTTGGTAAAGAATTGAATATACCATGGACTGTCAGAAGAATGAACAAATCTGTCTTGGAAGAATGCTCCTTAGAAGCAAGAATGGTGAGCCTTCATCTAATGTACTTTGGACATGTATCAGGAGGGTTCAGTCCCTGGAGAAGGACATCATGCTTGGTAACGTAGAAAACAAACAAAAAACCCAAACCCACTGCCATGGAGTCGGATCTGACTCATAGTGACCCCCTTGGGTTTCTGAGGCATTATCACTATGGAAGTAGATTGCCCAAACTTCCTTCTGAAGAGTGGCTGGTGGGTTTGAACCACCAGCCTTCCAAACCCACCAGGCTTCTGGTTAGCAGGCAAATGCCTTAGGCACTACACCACCAGAGCAATATAGAGAGTCAGTAAGAAAGAGGAAGATCTTCAGCAAAACAGATTGACATGGTGGATGCAACAAACAGAACAAATGGGACAACGATTGTGAGGATGGCACGGGACCAGGCGGTGTTTCATTCCGCCAGGCAAGGGGATGCTCTGAGTCAGAACCAACTCAACAGCATCTAACAACAACTAATAAAAGATAATTACATTTAAAATTTTACTTTATGAATAATTTTAATCAAGAAGATAGTTATATAAAAATGAAATTTTAACCTCTATGAACATAACAAGATTTAAAAGACACTTTAATTGCCATTAAATCTTAAAATGAGAAATTACTTAGAAAATGGATATTGCCTCCTTGAAACTAAACATCAATCCTACTACTATTTATTTTTACCTGAAGAAGTCAAATTCATGTTTTATATTTCACTCTTTCACTATGGCATTCATATTACTTTAGTAGTTCAGTAATACTCCATATGTTTAGTGCTTTAAAATTGATGTTTTCATTCATATTACCTAGTAACTTATGAAACTACAAATAAAGAAAATGTGCCCAAAATGTTTATAAGAACAATATTTTTAAATTTGACATAGTATTGGCCATTAATTAATGTGACAATTTCAATATGTAAAATCATCTCAATATATTATCAAGGATAATTTGTAATCAATAATACCTTAATCTATATAAAGTATTTTACAAGCAATAATTTATGTCTGATAAAAATAATTTGATCATACTTGTTCTATAATTTTATTTATAGGACTTGCCAAATTTTACCCAATGTAGCCTTTAGGTACTATTTTATCAAATGTGTTTTTATGCACAACTTCTGTTTTTAGTATATGAGAACAAAATGGGATGTTTTAGTATGCCATCTTTAATAATCCTACCTATCTAATAAACTGTATAGTTATCTCTAACATTAAATTAAACTAATTAATAAAAACACAAAAAGTACATATATTTGGCATATATTTTATGTTGAATGTTTTCAAATAGTATGGAATAATCAATAAAATATATAAACAAAAATTACTGTTAGAGGTTAACTAATACACCTTTGTACCCTTAAATTTAATATGAACATCTGAAAGATTATACTATTACACTTGACAAATTTTGGTGGAATGCCATGTTGAAATTCAGACAACTCTGTTTTGTGTATGTTAGTATTGCCAGGGCCTACAGTGGATACTAGCCTGTCATAAGCACTGGACAAATAAATGTTAATTTAAAGGAATGACTGCATAGAAAAATATAGTAAAAACTATAAAATTTGACTTTCAAAGGATATGTCTCTTTAGTACCCCTGTATACTAACATAAAGTACAATATGAATATCTAACTTTGCAATTTTTAAAAATTGTTTTTCTCTCCTCTCAAGCAATGAAGGTCAAATAAATAATTACATGTTATTTTTTTTTAGCAAACTTCTATTTTCACAGTGATAGAATAAGTAATTAAATCTTCGATACATAACACCAGTACTCCTTGAAAACAAATGAGGATTGAAGTGTGAAGCTACACACCACCATAAGAGAATATAGCACAGTAAGTGGCATTTCTTGTGTGATGTATGTTCAAAGACATGCCTGATATGATTTCCAAATTTACATATACATTTACTATTGCATTCTGCAGACAAATAAAATAGTAATAGAAACATGCCAAAAGTATCCCTTCTATAAATGAGAACTGAATATTGATTCTGAATATAATCTGCATTTCTAAATAAAATTAAAGGGTCATATAGGTTTCTAGAAAAAAAAAAAAAAGCATTGTTTTACTTGTCTTCTCTCTTAATCTTTCCCTCTCACAAAAGTACACAATTTCATCTCATTTTAGTTCCATTTTTAAATCTCAAAATTATTTTGAGGACTTTTAACATACACATAATATGAAAACAGTAATGATAATTGACCACAGCCATTTTATATTTGGATTATTTAGAAAAGTGTGAAATAACCTGTGACATTGGTGGTCATCAGAGCACCAGTGAGCATCCAGCCAGGTATCAGGTACATGCTGGAAAACTTTTATGGTTGTTCACCACTTAGTCTCTGAACATTTTGAATATTCAGGTGTTATTTTTATAGCTCTTTTAATATTCATGATAGAAATTCACTAAATTTCATAATTTTAAAGTAAAAGACCATTTTCAAAATGTTTAAGTGCCTTCCATTCGATTAAGCCTAACTTTCACTTCTTACACTCTATTCATCTTCACTTTACCACTTTACCCACCGAAACACAAAACCCTCCCAAAAAGAATGTCAATAACTAGACTTTTATGAATAGAATAATCAAAACTTGAAAATTCACACGTATGCTATATACCCCTGCCCTCAAAACATAGACCACGTAGACGGATTTGTGGGCATCTGGATCTGGAAATTATTTCCACACATTTACTTTTGGTCTGGATGGTTGATGGGGTAGCAGGTTGTGGCTGGGCACGGGCGGCTGAGAGAAACTGGCAGCGACAAGCTGATATGTGGCCACAGGGTACAGAGGGGGTGACCTGCCTTTCATAAAGACATGTAGGGGAACCTACACCTTTCCTTGCTATGAGCGACCGCCAAGAAACAGAAGTCTCCATTAAGTCGTTGCCACAGAGCCTGACCTCCTGTGGAGATGGCTCAGAGCGGGAGCGGTCCTGAGGCCGTGAGCAGTGGGACTCAAGTGCTGCTTATGCTTAGGCAGCTGTTTGAAAACATTTGGAAGAGGAAGGGACTTCAGCTCCTGGTGTCCCTGGTCCCAGGAGGTGTGGACAGGAGGTGGTGAGCGGGCATCCCCTCTCCCTTCTTGAAGTGTGCCCGAAAAAGCAGACCTCAAGATTAAGTTCTCTGTAGGAGGCGACTTGTGCACCGGTCTCGGATAAGCCCCCTTCTGTTTCTCCGCCCCAACCCTTACCTTGATTGTTGGAGACATGACTGCACTCGCCCGACCAAGCTGTCAGCAGAGGCAAGAAGAAACCAAATTGCAAAAGAAATTCCCGGACTTCGCAGCCCCCCATGCTCTCCAGGCTCTTTTCTCCTCCCTTTAAAGAGAATTGGCAGCAGTGCAGCCAGAAGTCCTGGGTAGAGTAGGGGTCCCAGTTCACGTCTTCTTCCTCCTCCTCCTCCTCTTCCTCCTCCACCCGGCCCGCAGGGGGTGTCCTGGGGCGCCCCCCGCGCGAGGCCCCGGGGGTAGGGCACGAGGGTCCAGGCTGCCCAGGTGCAGGCGCAGCTGTTTCAGAGGGGGACGCTGCCTGCGGCGCCTGGGAGCTCCTGGCGGCTGGAGGCGAGCGGAATTGCATCCACCACCGTGTCCCGCTCGCGCGAGGACTATTCACTTGGGCCCGGGAGAGGCGCGCGCGCAGGAGCGAGCTCGGCTGTGGTTTGGGGGAGGGGAGTGTGGGGGCGAGCGGGATGTGTGTGTGTGTGTGTGTGTGTGTGTGTGTGTGTGTGCTCACGGCGGGGATGGGGGAGGGACGACCAGGTGGGATGGGCGGCTCCGGAGACCTGAGCGCCTCTTGGGACAGAAGTGGGCACTTGCAGAGCCAAAAGCTAGGGGGCTTAGCTTCTTTGAAGAGACGTGGGGGCCGCGGGAACTTTCCTTCGGCCAGTGCAAGGAAAGCCAGGCAAAAGAGGCGTTTCTGCGGGGCCGCGAGTGGTCAGAATGAGCTGCCAAACTGCGCCCTTAGCCCCTTGCCTGGGTGGTGAGTGCAGCGGTTGGCATCGCGGGCATCTCCGGCTCAGCTGCGTCTGCGCTGCGCCCCGGCCGTGGCAGCCGATTTCCGGGCATCTCTGAGGCCGCACCTAGTCCCCCAGTCACTTTGTCCCCCATTTCGCAGCAGCAGTGCCAACTGTTTGAGGACTAGTGAGCTCCTATCACTACCTCCCTTTTACTTAACATTTCCTCCGCTGGAGGAGGTGAGGGCTGTAGGCACGCGTTTACTGTCCATAGCGGTGTCTTGGCGGCTGCGGTCAAGCGACCGCTCCTTAGCGCGGGTCGCCCAAACTTGCCCAGCAGGTCAAAGGGGTCAGCTTTGAGGCTGGCCCCGCTGTTTGGAGACCTAGGAAAGCGAAAGGTAGGAGGCAACAGCAAAGGGGTGTCACATCAGGCTGGATACCGAAGGATGCCTGGTGCCAGTGCTCACCAAGATATTCGCGTCGCCCTGCGGCGGTGACTTCGCGGTGGAGGTCACGAGCATCTGCGCAGCACTGGACGCCGAAATTCCGCAGACCCCGTGCGCCCGCGGCGTGGCGGCGTTGGGGCAAGCGATCCGAGCAGCCGGTGGGCTAGGCTGTGCGTGTCCACATTCACAGCTGCGCCGACTGCGCGGCGGGAGGAAGGCTTTGCCCGCGCGAGCCGCCCCCTCGCGGCACCCACTCCCTCCAAGCGCTTGGGTGGGTTGGAAACTGGTGCGCTGGCTACTTGGTGAAACCTTGTGGACTCCGCCTCAAAGCCTTATGTTGACCCGGAGGGCGTCTTGGCGTTCCCGGTCCTTAAATTCTCGCCTGGCAGCCAAAACGGGCGCAGAGGCCAGGGCCGGAGCGTGAGCACTTCTGAGCTCCGCCAAGATTGGCGCTCTCCCGCCCTGGCAGCTGGGCTCGGTTTCTGCCAGTTCGGCGCTAGAGGGGGTTAGTCGACAACAAAAAGTCCTCCACTGCACGCAGGTGGTGGCGATTTGTCATTCAAGGAACTCAAAGGAAGCAGGACTGTTATCAGGCTGAACTTAATGGGTCATTATGGGAGCGCCGAGAAAACCTGTATATTGGTGTAAAGATTTCGTTATACCATATTCGTTACTGTCATTGTCTTTCTTGAAGCGGCTTATGTTATCACAGTCAAGTGAGGTTGAAAACCCAAGCCGAACCCATTGCCATGAAGTCGATTCAGACTCATAGCGACCCTATAGGACAGAGTAGACTGCCTCATAGAATTTTTAAGGCTGTAAATCCGTACTGAATCAGACTGCCTCATCTTTCTCTCGGAGCTGCTGGTGGGTTTGAACCACTGACCTTTTGGGGTTAGCAGTCAAACACTTTAACCACCGTGCCACCAGTTGAAAAAGCTACCTCAAAACTCATCAGATATGTTTATGGCCTTGGAGAAAAGAGAAGATAAAGCAGCAATATTCTAAAGGGTTGACTATATTTTTCAATCAGGCAGACAGAGGTCATGGAAGGGAAGTTGGGGGAGAAGTAGATGAACAAGCATAGCATCAGCTTTTGATGTCTAAAGGATTGAGGAAGAGAAAGCAGTCTCCTATTCAACACATTTCAGCAGCGGCAATGTTTGTGTCACAGACCAAAGCTGAAGGGGTTTCAGATAATGCCTTAAATTGACTTGATGAGAAGGAGAGCAAGAAATGCCCCACTTCTAAAATTCTGCTGCATGGTGAGAAATGTGAAATGGAACTACGAGAATGTGAGGAAGGTTTCTGACTGGTGACTGTCCTTGCACTCTCATTTGGAATTCATTCACTCCCTCTCTTTAAATGTACGCAAATCACTCCTAAAAAGATAACTAGGTGTGGATTTGACATGTTGTTAAAAGAAGAAAATCTGATTTTACTGCTCATTTTACCACTCTTACTGATACTGACTGATCACATGGTTATTTGCAAACTTATTTTACAGTTTGTACACTGTTATAAATCTGGAAGGCGTAATTACATGATTATTCAATCATTAAGTCTAGATAAATTACCTTCTTAGTACTTAGTGAACCATTATACTGGTATTAAGTTTTGATTCAAAATATCTCTCTTTTCATTTACTCCAAAAAACCAAACTCACTACCATTGAGTCCGATCTGACTGGTAGCAACCATTCCTTGGTTTTCCCAGGTGGTATCACTATGGAAGTAGATTGCCCAATCTTCCTTCCTTTTCATATACTATCAAAGGATGCATGTTTTTATGATAATTTTATAATTAGATTTTCATTTCTAATGTTTACTTGCAAAGAATAACTCCACAGGATTCATTAAAAACACCCTAAGAAAAAAATTTTGTTCTAGGAAACACTCTTGAGAAAAATACTAAATTCTGATAAACTGAAGGAAAGTATAGATAACCATTATATCTTAGAAACATAAACAATGTTAATCTTTTCATAAAATTCTATTTAAAAAATAATAATAACCAGACTTCCAAGGAGAATTATTAAGTTAAACACCACTGAAAGGAAGATATTTAAAAAGTTTCCCTAGTATTAAAATATTTTAAAACCAAAGTTTAAAATTAAATTCTGATGTTAGTTATGCTTTAGTGTTACTTCTTAGAGAATATGTTAATAGAACACCAACAACGTTTCATTTAAAATTAGACTAGTAGGTACTGATTCTTATAGAAAGAGAGAAGGAAAAAAACGCAGACAAATGTTCATTTCTGAGACTCAAGATTAGTTACAGATCATGGTACAGTGTCTGAAACAAGATGTTTTTTACTTCAAAATTCAGTAACAGATTGATTAAAGTGGATTTCTACCCTTCTCCAGCCCCCACACTTAAATCCGCCTACTATTCAAAATTATTGTTTAAAAATTAAATATTATTTTATGGTGAGAAAAGTCAATAGTCACATTGTGGTTTTGATTTTTGAGAAAAAGAAATTACAAGATTTTTATTGGTATTAAAATAATGAAGCATATACCTCATATGTTTAAATATGTGTAGACAATATTTGATGCCTAGAAGATAATACCTTTTTTAAAGTCAACTCAAATAACATAAATTGAAATATTAGTACTGTGATCTTTGACTATAGTGAGATTCTATGGGATTGACTATCAGTTTCAAAATATGATTATAAAAAAATCATCATAGCATTTCTGTGTTATAAACATATACACAAATATATATATCTATATTCTTTCTAAAATATTTGTTGTGCTCTAAGTGCTTAATTATTTTTACTCAAGGAAGAATTCATGGTAAACTACTTTGTGTGAGTAAAAACAATTTGCTTTAAAAGCTAACTTTTCACCTAAAATAGAGTCATGGTTATTTTATGTGAGTTAGGAGCAAATTCACTTAACAGAAATATACTTCTTTTTTCTTTCACTTTCTAGCAGTGTTGATATATTTGCTGACATGTGACAGTTTCAAAATTATAAGCCATTCAATGAACCAGATGCAATATTCATGTATGTTTATCTGTACTTGTCTATTTGAGTCATACACATATTCAGAAAAGGATTCTTGTCCCATTTTTTAGCACTATATTCAGAATTCTTTTGCATTCTCTTAGACCATTGTTCTTCATGATACATGTTGTCTGGATCCAGGTAAGAATTATTATTTATTTACTTTTTAAAATTAAATAACGGGTGTCTGAGACTAGAAACTAGTTTAAGTTTTCATTTATAGTAGAAATGATCACATTCATAAATACTATTTGTTCTTCAAAATGATGAAAGGAGGAAAGATTTAACCTATAATTAATTCCTTTGGGGAAAAAAAAAGAAGCAGGATTATAATATTTAATACTCAGCATGTTTCAAGACTAGATAGAGTCTTAAGTGTTATTATTCTGTTAGAAAGGTAAATTAATCCATTTATAACCATAATTTACATTCTCTAAGGTCAAGGAAGAAGCAACATAAATAAAAGGAGTGTTGATCCTCAAATATGTGAAAATATCAGCCCTTAAAGGATTAGGTAGGTATTTTGAATATACACAATTATGTAAATCTTTTTTAAAATATAAAATATGAAGGTATGTTATGGACAACAATATTACTGCTCTCATGTCATCAATTTTAAAATATAAACTAAAGATTGAACTGTATGTATTGCAGCTTCCAAATAGCTAAAGTAAAATAAATAAATAAATAAAATCCACAAAGTTAAATATAGTTCATTTGAGGCCTTTTACTTTTAGAGAATATGTAATTAGAAAGAAGAGGCATATATTATTTATCTAATAAAATTTCATTTGATACTGAAGGATAGTTAATATTTTTATGAAAGGGAACGTTAAAAAATATTACTGGGTATTTTACATTATTGTTAGCATTTCAAATCTTAACCTCACAGGAGAAAAATAAATCAACTTGAGGTTCCAAAACATCTTGTTGTTGATACTAGATATTACATTTTGTCCTTGTTTTGTATGGTACTACATAGTAATATATATGAGTATATATGTATATGTATATGTATATGTGTGTGTATATGTGTATATATATATATATATATATATATATATATATATATATACATATACACACACACACCGACATACACACATATAATACAGATATATGTGTGTGTGTTTAATTAAGAGGATATGCCTCCCTGACACTTGTCTAATTCAGTTACCAATTACTAATTGAAATTTTCA